AGGGGGCAACTCCTTAAAATTATTACTATTTATAATAAAATATTTAAAACATTAAATGTTCAACAAAGAAAATGTTTAAGCAACTATGGTAAAGATATATAATGGAACACTATATGAATATTTTAAATGAGTAACATGTAGACAAAATTAAGTGGAAATATTTATATGGAATAAAGTTTTATAAATCAAGTACACAAAGCATTTGTGAATATAGATTGTAACCATATTAAAATGCACATATACATATTAAATACCATTAGAAAATCTGAAATTCTGAAAACATTCCTCAGGTTCTTATTTATTTATTTATTTATTTTGGTAAAACTGCTTAAGTTCATAAAGAGCACTACTCAAAATTTTAGCACCTATCAATCAGTGTCTCTGAATGGTATATATTATAGATATTCCAGAACAGAGTTTAGAAACTCAATCCTTGGGGTGTCTGGGTGGCTCAGTCGGTTAAGTGTCCAACTCTTGATTTTGGCTTAGGTCAATCTCAGGGTCGTTAGATTGAGCCCCATGTTGGGCTCTGTGCTGGGTGCCTGGCTTACGATTCTCTCTCTCTCCCCCTCTACCTCTATCCCTCCCCGCCACTTAAAAAAAAAAAAAAGGAAGAAACTCAATCCTTGTTCTCTAAATCATAGCAATAAATATCCTGTTTGTCCTCTATTACCTAAATGCTAGTGTGCCCACTACAGGAGCCAGAGAAATGAGTTATTTGTGTGTTGCAGTAGGCTGAATTCTAACATGACCCCTCTCTGACTCTCACTTTCCCCAGAATCTATGCATAAATAATGGGATATCACTCCCATAACTGTATTATGTTATTTAGCAAAAGGTATCTTGCAGATATAACTAAGATCCTTAAATTGACTTTAAGGTCATCAAAAGAGAGACTATTCTAGTTGGGCCTGACATAATCAGGTGAGCCTTAGAAGAAGTCAGAGTAGTTCGAAGCCACAGAGGTTTTCCTGCTAGCCTTGAAGGAATAAACTGCTATGTTAAGAAAGGAGGCAGCCAGGTTGCAAGGGCTTGACGGGGGTTTTAGAAGTTGAGAGCAATTTCTGGCCAACAGCTAGCAAGAAAATGGGGACGTCAGTCATACAGCCAAAAAGAAATTAATTGAAAAAGGACCCTGTGCCTCACATGGGACTACAGTGTGGCTGTCACTTTGATTTCAACCTTGTGAGATCCTGAGCAGAGGACCCAGCTAACCTATACTTGGACTCCTGACCCATAACTAAGTCGACTTAGTTTACAATGATGAGTTTTACTCATTCGACAAATATTTCAGTCACAAATAATGATCTCCTACTATGTGTTAGGCAGTATATCAACTGTGATATAACATTTTATAACAAATCCAAATGATTTTTAACAAAATACTGAACTATATATACGCTTAAAAAACTTACATCCAGAAGAAAATCTACAACTTAAATGTTATAAGACATTTAAAAAGACCATAATAGTTAGATTTATTGACCATTCAGCCTAGTATTTTGTCCTCAAAAGGTGATCCCAAATAACATTTGATGGGATAACAGGATTATCCTCCACCTGAGATTTTAGATTCATTAGCTTCCCTTAATATCCTAATATGATTCTGGCATTCATGAACTGATCACTGAAATCCACAGCTGACCTATTTATGTTTTTGGTTTTTATCATTTGTAAGAGTATCAAGATCCATCTTATGAAGATAATACATTCTTTTTTTCTAAAACAAGCACTTTAGTCTTTATGAAGTACCCCCTAATTCTTTCCTCCTGTCTTTCCATAGATATACCTACTTTCCACCCAATAAATATAAATGGAATAAACTCAATTTAAAAGGTAAAAACTTAAAGTGCGCCTGAGTGGCTCAAGCAGTTGGGTGTCCAACTCTTGGTTTCGACTCAGATCATGACCTCAGGGGCTCTGTGCTTGGTGCAGAGTGTGCTGAAGATTCTCTCCCTGCCCCTCTCTTCCCTCTCTGCTCCTCCCACTTGCGCTCTCTCTCTCTCTCTCTCTCAATAAATAAATAAATAAATAGTGAAACCTTCAGACTAGATAAAATGCAGCTACATGTGTTTGGCAAGAGGCCAAACATAAGGTTGCAGAACAATGAAAGGTCAGCAGATGGAAAAAGATATACCAGTCATATCAAACTAAAAGAAAGCTAGTTATACAGTATCAAACAAAACAGACTAAATGAAAAGGTCTGATTCATTATGTGGCTAAACAGTTTTATGTTTGTATGCACATACAAAGCTTCTAAATATTCAAAGCAAAAATTGACAGAATGTAAGAAGAAATAAACAAATCCACGATAGAATCAGTTTTTAGTAAATGATGAATCAAAAAGATAAAAGTCAAAAAGAATACAGAATATTTGAAGAAAATAACTTAAAATTTTGATTTAATGGACCAGCATACAAGACTACACTGAACAACTGAACACGCCCAGAGTATTACATTTCTTTCATGTGTCACACTAGACTTAAGGTTCAAAAACTGTTTTCATACAAACCACAATTTTTAATCATGATGCAGTTAAGGTTAAAAAACCATGTCAATCTCACACAACTCTCCCAGTGTACAGAGAAGGAAATAAGTCTTTTTCACTGTGTGAGGCTAGTAGGACCTTGATTCCAAAACTAGAAAAGCATGATACAAAAAGGGAAAGGTACAAAGCAATCTTACTGAACCCAGGCTCAAAACTCCCAAAATGAATATTAGGAAACTGAATCTAGTTATTATATAAAAAAGATATATATAATCTATCATGACTAACTAGAACCTTCTTTAGAAATCCAAAGTTGATTTAATATTAGAAAACTCATATAAGGTACCACATTAACAAATTAAAAAGTATGATCTCAATATATGCAGAAAAATCAACATCAATTTGTGATTTTTAACTTAAGAAACCTGAATTATAAGGGAATTTCCTAAACTTGTTAAAGGGCATTTACAAAATAAAACTTTAGAGAAGCATAATATTTAACTGTAAAATGTTGACATCCTTCACTTTAAGAGCAGGAAACAAAACAAGAAAGCTTATCTCTAGAGATCCTATCTAGCAAAGTAGGACAAGTAAAAAGATGTCCAGGTTGAAGGGAAGGGCAGGTGCATGTGGAGGGATGAGCCAGGCAGATTCTTGAGGAGCAATTCTAATATGGCACTAAAACATCACCAAGGTGCTAAAGCATAATTGAGAATGTATCTAAAAGGAAAATCAATTACATGTTTATTAGAACTTCTCTCAGTGAAATTACAGTGTGTAGACTGGAGAAATACTTAAACCATTTTGAACTGAGAGTAGACCCTGGGGGACCTTCCTGAGAAACACAGATGGTCACTAAACTGCTTTCTGATGAGAGTGGGACACCATAACTACAAGGATCACATTCTGCTGAGAGAGGTATGCAAATCTGGGGCCAGCAGTGAATTATCTTGGACAAGAGGAGAGAGGCTGAACTAATACAAATATAGGTACATCCCCTGCTTTTTCAAAGTTCATGTTATGGCACTTCACTTTCATAAAAGACCTACCACAGTACTTTCTGCTAACCAAAAGTAATCCGGAGAGATTTTTCACTTTTAACAGAAAAAGGCAAAAAGTAAAACAGCGTTCAGCATTTGCTTTGCAGTGAGCCCTTCTAGAGGCAGCGTGCATCCCAAGCAATGAGAGCGGCCCCGCCAAGTCCCTGTCCTGGAACCACACTCAGCATCTCAGGATCATGCCACCATAGTTTTGAGCTGTGTGCATCTGTTAGCAAGATGGATCCTAAAGTATCAGAAAAGCCTAAGAGAGTTAAGTTTTGGGGTCTTGGAGTGCTCAAAAATTTTTCTGTATAAATTAATGGTAACTGCTTATTCACTTTACACCATTTCAGCTTACAAAAGATTTCACAGGATGCTCTACTTACAGATAAGCAGGGGAAACCCGCAACAATCTTAATTCTGTCATTCCCAAACGTGGTGATTGGTGCCTTCTCTGGATAAATGTTTAAAGATAATTAAAGAAGACGGAGTGCAAATTATTAGCATGCCCTGGGGCACTCATGTTTTGGCGTGGTTTCTGTGAGCAGAAGCAGAGTGATGAGAAAGTAGGACTTAAAGACTCTTGGGAGAGATGACGCTAGTAAGGAAGGAACAGCTGACAAGATGAGAAATGTCCAGACACAGACTTGTTTTCGGAAGACCACTCTACAAGACAAGACTGTCCACATGAAGGATCTGGAACGGAAGGACAAGATGACAACAGGGAGGCTATTCTAGGGCATAGGTGAACCTGGGCAATAGAGAGAAAGGAACAGAACAAACAGTATTACAGTTTTTAAATTGTCTTTACGTTTATTTTATTCACAACTTCTTGATTTATGACATTCTTATTATACTCTATTCTTAGTCTTTCCTAACAATACTATTTTCTTATGGCATTTAAAAATTATTTTAGATGTCACTCTAGAACTTATAAAGCCTCTCACTTTTTATTTTTAAGATTTTATTTATCTGACAGAGAGAGACACAGCGAGAGAGGGAACACAAGCAGGGGGAGTGGGAGAGGGAGAAGCAGGCTTCCCGCTGAGCAGGGAGCCCGATGCGGGGCTCGATCCCAGGACCCTGGGATCATGACCTGAGTTGAAGGCAGACGCTTAAGGACTGAGCCACCCAGGCGCCCCTTTTTAAAACAGAGATACAGTGTAGAGAAGAGTAAGTCACTGTTTTACAAAAGGTAGACAACCTCTTCTGTTTTCTTTCTTACAAGGTGATATTATCCTTTGTTTTGCTTTTTCCCACAAAGGCACCTTGGTCTGATGTTTTGGGTAGTAAATTTTTACCTGGTGAGATATAACCAATGTATTATGAAAAACTCAGCATCAGTGAAAGCGTGTGATTATTTTTACTGTAGATATTTTACCATCAGTGAGGCTCACCTACATATACGACGTTACCAAATAAGATGTTACCAATAAGACATAACACAGGTGACAAGCCTAAAGAATTCTTGCCTCTTGATTGGCTGTATTTAGCTTGTCTTCCAGCTCCTCCTTCAGGTTTTCCAGCTCTTGTTGAAGTTGACTTTTATCCTCTTCCAGGTTTAGTTTCTCCTTTTTATATTGTTCCTCCAATTCCTTAGGAAAAGACATTTTTAAAAATTAACAAAATTGTCAATATTATATACCTCAAAGACTCCAAGAAAAAGGCCATTCTGTTTTATATTTTGATACTTAGCTTTTGAAATTAGCTTTATCCTTAAACAATAATACTGGAGTTATTAGTCTAATTCTACGGGCTTAGATTCTATCATTCTGAATCACTTAGGATGTGGTTAAATAATTATTTTAAATGGTAAAAATATTTGGTCTAGATCAAGCTAAGCCAACAACAGAAATGTATGATATAAGTGATAATTTGGGGAGATAAAGAAAAAATTCTAACTATCTCTTGAATACAGAATTCTTTTATATTTACATAAAAAAAACCAAAATCCAAGAACAATTCTGGAACACTGGAACATAGTCAAGAATTACTAAGTACAAAATTAAGGCATCAAAAGAAGCAATACCAGTAAAATTGATATTTACTGAAGAACGCCTACTATTTGTCATGCTACTTAATAATACTTGGGATACACAGGCAGTAAGACATAGGGTCTGCCCTTAACAAGCTAAAGGTCAACAAGCAATTAAAGAATATATGATGAAAATTAAAATGACCATAGGGACTACAGGGATATGTGGATGGAGAACTGATAAGTTCTAGCCTGGTGAGGAAACCTGCACAGAGAACACAATTCCTAAGTCAAGTCTGAAGGAGTGCATCAGTAAGAAAAGGTGATGAAGAAAGAGGGAAATAGAAGACAGAAGAAACCTGTGCAAAAACCACGGCGGTGCAAAGAGCCTGGTATGTTACAAGCAATTCAATGTTTCTATAGTGTAAGGTAGGAAGAGGAATAAACAGGGTTCTATGGAACTCCCAAGGCAAAGTCCAGGTTTGATGATTTGCTGGGACGACGCACAGGATTCAGCATCTACTCATACTCACAGCTATAATTTATGATACAGCAAAAGGATACTAAGCAAAGGGAAAAGGTGTAGGGGGCGAAGTCTGCAGGAAACCAGGCACAAGTTTTCAAGAGTCCTCTCACACAGGACTCTCCAGAAAGTTGTGACAATGATGTGAAATGCTGTCTACCAGGAAAATTCATGAGTGACTCAGTGCCCATGTTTTTCATTGGGAGCTAATGACGTAGGTACCCTCTGACTAGCATGTGCCAAACTTCCAGACTTCAAGAAGGAAAGCAGATGTTCAGCACAAACCATATTGTTTGCATAAACCCTTTAGGCACATGAGCCATTCTTATTAGGGAATGGTGGAAACCTTCCTGAAATTTAAGTTCCCGGATACTAGCAAGGGCCAACCTTGCCCCCTGCCTTTCTAAGGACAGCAGCTTCAAGCCTGCTATGTTAACTCTTTTCTGCATGGATTCTCTATATATTCACTTCCAAATACGGTGGGTAAACTAGATTTATGGAAGAAAATATAATCCCTTTTGATAACTAATAAGGAATGGGGAAGTCACCTTTCGGTAAATATTCTTTAAAAGATAATTTGAGGGGCACCTGGGTGGCTCAGTGGTTGGGCGTCTGCCTTTGGCTCAGGTCATGATCCCAGGGTCCTGGGATCGAGCCCCGCATTGGGCTCCCTGCTCGGCGGGAAGCCTGCTTCTCCCTCTCCCACTCCCCCTGCTTGTGTTCCCTCTCCCGCTGTGTCTCTTCCTCTGTCAAATAAATAAATAAAATCTTAAAAAAAAAAGATAATTTGACATTGGAGAAAGACTATTCTAAAAGGAGGGTGGTTTGAGCTTAGGCTCAGACATGAGCTAGCTAGGCAAGAGAGGAATGAAGCAGCAAGTGCTAAGTTATTTTGAGAGAAGAGAAGGGTACAGATAAAGCTATCATGCGTTTTGACTATGTTCACACACAGGAAATTCACGTCAGCTGTTTTATAGCAAGCACATTTTAAAGAAAGACTGCAAGAAATGTAAATGGCGTAAAGCAGATTTTTAGGTGGCTCAGAAATTGAAATTCAACAGGCAGGGGGATCATTAGGAGGGAAGTAAGGAGGCAAAAATGATATTGATGAAAGATGCCTTGATTCTAGTACTTAGAACTTAATACAGAGGAATAAAGAGAGACAAAAGGCAGAACACCTGCAAGTTAAATACTACGAAAAGAGAGGAAAAGGCTAAGATGAATAAGGGATGTAGAAATGAAAAAATAGTAACAAAAAATAGCTTTGGAAGAGCTAACTGAGGCAGTAGTTACCACTAAATACTTCCCTCTAAATCCCTGAGCTCTTGGCACATACGCATAGTCGGTAAGCACGCACATGTACCACATAATTAAAGCTGTACAAATTTGTTCTGGAATAGTGAGTTGGCACAGAGAAACCAACAACCACAATTTTGAGAAATAACATGTCATTAAGGTTTGTCTCCAGCTACATAAACATAAAATAGTAAGTTTAGATAGAAATAACACTCTAACTGGAAGTTTCATTTGAATTTTTAATTAAGTTCAGGTGTTGAATATTTTTTCCAACTGGTTTTCACAAAAGGAAGAGACATAGAGGCAAAGGTCTCAATTCAGATACAACCTCTTCTATTTACTAGGTTAGTGGTACTGAATAAATCATTTAGGTTTACTAAACCTATTTCACCATCTATATAATAAAATGACATTAATCTCCAAGTCTTAAGTAATAAAGAATATACAAGAATGCTTAGTAAACTGTAAAATGCTATTACATAAAACATATAACAACCATCATGAATACATGCCTATGTGTGGTGGTTAAATGTCTTAGGATTTGATATCTGAGACCTGAGTTCAAGACCTGACTGATTCTTACTAGTTGCATGTGTTTGTGCAAGTGTTTAACTTCTCTGTCCTCCATCATCTACCCTCCTTCAGGAAGAAGGGTATAGCAATTAAACCTATGAGAGTGTTGTGAGGATTAAATAAAACAGAAGGAAAACATCACTGCAGTGCCTGGCACACAGTAAGAAATACTAGTAACTAACATTTATTTATTTTTTAAAGGTTTTATTTATTTGAGAGAGAGAGCACAAGCAGGGAGCGCAGCAGAGGGAGAGGGAGAAGCAGGCTCCCTACTGAGCAGGGAGCCTGATATGGGACTCGATCCCAGGACCCTGGGATCATGACCCGAGCCGAAGGCAGACACTTAACTGACTGAGCCACCCAGGTGCCCCAATAACTAACATTTATTTATCAGTATATGCTAGGTCATGTCTGAGTTCTCAACATTTTATCTCACTTAACCCTCACAGGAACATTACAAGATGGATTTTATCTTCCTCTGTCAGATGAGGAGCTTGAGGTGTGGCTTTTGAGAGCCAAGAGTAGGCAGCTAGTAAGCAAAGGGCCCAGTTGTAGGGCCCACATCTGTCAGACACCTTACTTTTTCTACACCTACAGGAGAAAGTGCTTCAACTAGTTGAGGCTTCCTGAGGAGCACATCTAAGATGCTGTCTCATGAAGAGACAGCTCAAGATCAAGGGAGTGTTTCTACTATGGCTTATACAAAGTAGGAATGCTTCATATCAATTTAACAAACTACATCTCTTGTCAACAGTTTTTAAGTATGTTACTCTTTGAATCATGATTTACAGAGTGATTATGAGACAGCAGCCATCAGAATGAAGCAACTCATTTACTCTACAATATGGGTCACCATGGATCATTACAGAAACCCCTCCAGTTTAACAATGCAAGGCTACGTTGAATTTGTACTCACCACTTGCAGTTTTTTCTTATCCCTAATTGCATTACTGTGGACAGCCTCAATTGCCACATGGTGCTTCCAAGCTAATTCTTCCAAAGTCTTAGAATGAGCCTCATTTAATTGAGCTACCTCCCCTTCCAATCTATTTTGCAGGTTTTTTAGCTCCATCTCATAATATTCTTGCTGAGTTTTCTTTGCTTCATTTACTTTCTAAAATTAAAGCAAATAAAGATCAATAATTGTGCCTGCTTTTTTCATTACTGATATTAGTATTTTGAATACTCAATAAATGCATAAACTTGAATGAACTGAGCACTACGGGATTTACACCTTGGACATGAGATTACATCATTGGTGTTCTCAGAAAATGACAGGGTAGCACAGGCAAAATGAATACTTTTAACACAAGTGATAAAATAGAGTATTATTAGGTTAGAACCAAGTGTAAGCTAGCACGTCTGTGAACTTACGAGAAAGGCTTCCTGTGTGTCAAAGCTGTACACAAAATGGCTTACCAACTTACCCGCTCAGATGATATAATTCAATCCAGTTTTATTGAGTGCCAGTTATATGCCTTTTAAGCAGTCCCAGTTTAATGATGGGAAAAAGGCAAAAGACAGTGGCAATATAATTTTATAAATTCTATGAAAGGAGTGTACATCATGTGTTGTAAGAGTATACAGTAAAGGAGTCTAACCTGGAACAGGTGGGAAAGGGTGTGTGTGTGTGTGTGTGAGAGAGAGAGAGAGAGAGAGAGAGAGAGAGAGAGAGAGAGAGAGAGACACCCACACCCACACATACATACATATATACATCAGGGAAAGCTTTCCAGAAGAAAAAACATGTGAGCTGCTGATGACACATCTCTCATTTAATTCTCAAAAGCCCATCAGGAAATGAGAGATGAGAATATTTCAAACCTAGATTTGATGTCAAAAGCCTGAATTTACAACCATTTCCAGCATTTTGAAAGATGAGGGGTAGTCCGCGGTGGTGAAGTTCGGGTAAGACAGGAAGACCATGCAGCTGAGCAGTATGGACAGAACAGAAGATCCAAGGTTGACAGCGGTGAGGGATAAGGCTCGGCAGGAGGCAGGAGTCGAATGATGAGAAAGGGTCTTTTATGCTAAGGACTCTGGATTTCATTATGACAGGAATGAGAAATCATTGCAATTACATAACTGACATATTTTTAACAACAATCACGTTGGCATTAGGCTGGTGAGTTGACTAAGGCTGGGGGAGTGTTTAGGAAATTGTAACTGAAATCCAGGCCACAATGACCTAAACCTAAACCTAGAATCTGTGAAAGGGTATGAAAACAGACGATGAAATAAAACATACATTAAGGGAGCAGAAAACCAATAGGACTTGGTAACAGATAAAAGGGTTAAGGAAATAGTCAATAGTGACTGATTTACCAAACTAGATGGACTGTAGTGCTACTGGTTGAAAAAAGGAGTAAAAAAAAAAAAAATACAGTACTTTTGAGGGGAAAAAGTTCTAGTATGCTGATTCGAAATGTTTGTGAGAAACCAATCTATCCTGTGGGAGTTAGAGACACAGGACTCAACGTTAGGGAAAAGATGGGGCCTAAACCATCAGATTTGGGAGTGATCACTGAACAAGTTTTATGCTACTAGAATGGATGAGCCTGTAGAATGAGGTGAAAATGCTGGGGAGCATCAAGGATAGGGAACAGATTGAAGAAGGAAGCTCTGAAATAAGACTGCAAGGCTGGGGAGACAGGAGAAAAACGTGCGAGAATGTGAAACACCAAAACAGAGATGCTGCAAATCAGAGAGGAGTAAGTACCACAGCTGGACAAGATTCACCAGGTCCAGCAACCAGAATGTCACTGGAGGCTGGGACAAACACAGATTCTGTGGAGTGGTGCTAAGAGAAACCACACGACATTGGGTAAGGAGTGACTGGGAGGTGAGCAAGGGGCAAGGTTTTGAATATGCTTGGTTCTTGAGGGAAAGAAAAAGAAGTATCCAAAACTCCCACTCAGTATTGTGAATATCTGAAAAATTGCAATAAATATTTAGCAATTACTCTACAAATGATAGGTCTTATTTTTTTAATCTAGAAATTCAATATGTTGGTATATGAATTTTCAGATCTTGATACTTGTTCTTTTTAGTTTTATAGAAATTTCCTAGGTGTATATGCAATAATATATTTCATTAAAACAAAAACATATACGATTAACCACAAATGTACATTCCACCGGAATAAAAGTTTATTCAGTTTCTGGTTGAAATAGGTTGAAATGTCTTAAGTTTCTACATTATAAATTGTTAGTAATATTCTGAACATATACACAATATGGGATAGTCCAGCTATATACCATTTTTCCTCAAAAACAAAAACTTACAAGAATTAAGAGATAGACTGTTACCGTGAAGTAGAAGTAAACACTTTAAATCAAATTTGAAAAAGACGAAAACTGAACTTTTTTTTCTTTTCCTTTCTTTGGTGGCGGGGAGAGGGGACATGGATTCCACTGCTTTTTACCTTCTCCAGTTCCAAAATCTGCTGCTTCTGCTCTTCATCCAGACTCTGAGTTTTGCTTTGCAAAAAAGCTCTTTCTTCTTCAAGCAGAGATAATCTCTCATTGGCCCTTGATTTTTCTGATTCTAGATCTTTAATTGTAACCTCCTGGGTCATTTGAGTTGCCTGAAGCATTCCAATATGACCTATGCTCCAAAAAGAAAACCTTCACTTTAAAATCTGTTGCATTGTGGTATAAAACAGTTTATATTTAATGACACAATTGTACTTACTACCTGAGTGAAATAAATAGTCTGCATGTACAAATAGTACTTTGATTTCTTCAGAAATCTGTATAAAATAGAAATACCATGGGAATATTTATCCAAGTAGAATAATTTAAACTAGAAAGAAGTCCATTTTTCCCATATAATGTATTATTTGTTCCAGAAGTACAGGTCTGTGATTCAACAGTCTTACACAATTCACAGCGCTCACCATAGCACATACCCTCCCCAAGGGGGGGAAATTGGAGGGGTAACAAACCATGAAAGACTATGGACTCTGAGAAACAAACTGAGGGTTCTTGAGGGGAGGGGGAGGGGGGATGGGTTAGCCTGGTGATGGGTATTAAAGAGGACATGTTCTGCATGGAGTACTGGGTCTTATACACAAACAATGAATTATGGAACACTACATCAAAAACTAATGATGTACAAAAACTAATGATGTAATGTATGGTGATTAACATAACAAAATAAAAAAAACTAATGATGTAATGTATGGTGATTAACATAATAAAATAAAAAAACATGTGGTTTAAAAAAATAAAGTTGAAAGAACCTAAAAAAAAAAGAAGTCCATTTTCACATCGCTGATGTTGCCCCAATACCCAGGAATCTTTTTTTTTTTTTTTAAGATTTCCAACTAAACAAGTTGAAGTAGAAGCAACTCCTCAGGGATGTATATAAAATCCTTGGGAATAAAACAGAGGATCTACTGACTAGTACTATGGCACCAAAATGAGTTATCTGTTCTTTTCTAATTTCTTCTTTTTTCAAATTCTCATAAAAGACAAAGAAATCTGTATGTAGGCAGTAAATATGGCAGGCAGCTATTTGGCTGAAACTGAATTTGTTTTAGACATGAGATGTGATAAAGAACGAAGGTGGATTAAGAGACAGTCCTAAGGACAGCGAGGTTATCAAAGAAAAACTAAATGACAACAACAAAAAAGGGAAGGGCGATGAGAGAGAAAGAGAGATGAACAGTGAGTATGAGAAAAAGGGTCTCAGAAAGCTTGTGTTAGGGCAGTGATTCTCAATGTGCTCTGGACCAGGAGACCTGGAGCCCTCACTGGCAATGAAGAACATCCCAGACCTACTGTCTCAGAAGCTCTGAGGCTGGAGCCCAGCACCTGTGGTTGCGCAAGCCCTTTTGGGTGATTTTCATACACGTTAAAGTTGAAAAACTCCTACTTAGGGGAAAGGTTATATGGGATTCGCTGATGAGCCAATCAAATGACATCCTCAGAGAACGAGTTCGAATGGCTTTAAACCTGGCACAATAAACACTTGGGTATATGCCATGGGTCACCACCTCCTCTAGTATGGGCTATGGAATGAGCACATCAGCCATAGTAGGATGGGCAATTCACCTTTAGTGTGTAAAATGATCCCTATTAATAAACCAAATGAAATGAAAAATTGTAATTCACATAAAGTTCCACTAATTTAAATACTTTAAAACATATGGGTTTTTTTAAACATGTTTTTTAAAGAACAAAAAACCTCTTAGAAAGAATGCTTCATTGTTCTTTTAGTGAATTATTTATTGCTGTTAACTCTTAATTTTTCTATAAATATATATTCCTAAAAATAAGTTATCATTTGCTTATCTAACTTATGATTAAGAAGAAATTAGAGTCCTTTAACATGTTTAGAGTCTAAATAATTTTAAAGTATGAGAAGAAAAGGCAAATTTTGTCTTGAATTAACATTTTAGTTTTGGTTTTAGCTGAGGAATAAACCAAGAACTGTGGTCACACATACTAGCTTTGAGGACCAGTTCTGAAGCTTGTTGTTGTAAACGTTCTCTGGCTGCGGCTAGCTCACTCTCCACTTCCTTGTGCTTGCTCAACAAGGCCATCTCTCCCTCCTTGGCATCATCAAGCTGTTTCTGAAGAACCTGAGAATGATCAAATCACCATTATTAAAATGCAAGAATGATGCTGAGCTAATTAGCTAAGCTAATGATGCTAATTCACTTAAATTACAAGCGTCAACTTTCTCTTATTCAAAAGTCACAGTTAATAATACCTTCTTTTAAATCTGTTTTGATAACACTTATAACTTATCTTCATAAATCGTATGACTCAATCATGAAAGACTATTCTACCCCTTCTAATCCACTCAATACTACACAGATATTAAAAACAGCCTTGAAATTTTCTATGCCAATAAAACAAAATTTGTAGGGACTTCCTGGCTTTTTTTTTTTCAAACATGTGCCATATACCTATTTAATTCAGGTTTATAAAGCAATCAATTTTTGTTCATTGTCTGGGCAGATCATTATTAATGAAGTTAAAGGAGAAAACACAATTAAACCCAAAGCCCAATATTTTAACTCTCCCAAGCCACTTGTGAAAAATATTAACATGTTATTTCAATAAAATCCTTTCATGATCAGTAAGATTTTAAGTTATCTTTATGGGCCTTTAATATCTGAAGTTAGAGTTGGAAATAATAACTACAGAGTAGTAAAAATTACCCCTTTATGGATTTTCTCACAAAGGCAAAGTAGGAGAAAGCAAAATGGAAAAAAAAAGTTAAAAGTAGTCTAATTGGAAAGAGAAAGACAAAATTAGGGGGAAAAATCTGTATGTTGAATGTGACATTCTTTACTTACCTGAACACTGTTCTCTGCTGTAACAAGTGCTATCTGAAGCTTTTGGCATTTGTCACGAAGACTTCCAGCTTCATCCTGTACCATCTGTAACTCTGTCTTTAATTTTCCTATGGTTTTTCGTAAAATTGCTTCTTGTCCCTGAAATTCCTTTCTAAGATCAGCTTCCTTTTCTTTGCTAGCCTGTAGGCTTTCTGCTGTAAAAAGCTGTGACCTTTTCAAAGTATCAAGCTCATGCTCATAAAAGGACTGAGCTTTATTCAACTTGCCTTCATAATCCTCAATGAGCTTTTTCTGTTCAAGTCTTAGCTCTTCCAGGGTTTGGTTTAAAGCCTCCACCTCCATCCTGTGCAGCTCCTCCGCCTTCCCCTGCCCTCCACTGACCGAGGCACTGTGACCCTGCTGTGACTTCAACAGCTCTTGGATCTCCCGTCTGTGAGCAGTTCGCAAATCTTCCAATGCCAAGCGTTTGTCTTTTTCGAACTGTACCTGGAGTTGTCCAAAACTCCGTAATCTTTCCTCAAATTTCCTTCTAATCTCTTCAACCTCTCTAGACATGGTTACTATGCGCTGGACATGCTGGGCTTCTGCACAAAGTTGCATGTCCTCAACTCTGTGCTTATAAGCTTCAAATTCTGTCAAAGCCTGCTGCTTCATTTTTATGTGATCTTCTAATGATGCTTCTAAAACCTGAATCTTTCTCTTAAGGTCTAACTCCTCTGTTACTTTGCTTTTATACTGCAGTATTTTTTCTCTTGTTTCTGCAAGAATCTGTTGGATTTCTTCTTCATGAGCATCTCTGAGGGCTTGGATTGCAGATTCATGCTCATCATTTTTAGTGTTTAAAGCATATATTACCTGCATGGTTTTGAGAAAGGGAGAAGCAATTCAGCAAACCACGTTCTTTTCTTACTGGAAGTTAATTCTTTCATTTGGACTGATATTATTCAACACACATAATATTGGCTATGGTAAATACTAAATACCGAAGCTTCATGCATTGTTTTGGATTCATAGATTGATTTACTTGGCTAGTTTTACCTTAGTCCAACCTTAAAAGTTGCACCAGAAGACTTCACTACAAATGAGACAGTGAGGAGAAAAGAGACAAAGGAGGCCCCGTGGCCTAGAAGGAGTTTTCCATATGGCCCAGTCTAGCTTGGGGGTGAGGGTCAGGAGAAAAGCTTCAGAGTAAGTATCTGCCCTACATGACTGTCCCAGAGGAAGAGACGCTTTGCATCTAGGCCCTAACTCTTTCTAAAGGCCTCTTTCAACTGTTTAATGTCTAGTAGGTTCTAAATTTAGAGATTTTCTTTTCTAATTCCCCTATGGTCTGTTTTTAAGGCTAATCCTCTTCTCTTCAAGTTCCTAGTCATCTCCTTACAAAATCCAATTCATACTTTTCTGCTCACAAATCAAACACTGTAGTTTTACTCACTCCCTAATTTTTCCTGTCTCGAGGCAAGCCAGGTCCCTAGAGCCAGAGTGTCCTGGGTACAGGTCTTTATTTTCATTTTAGTCCTTGGATTTTAGTGATTCCATTAAGATTTCCCCAACCTTAATTCCAAATGACAACATAGTCCCTTTATAGTAATGCTCCCATTCTTGCATGTTCTTTGATACCCTCCATCATACCACTGTGGTCAAATAGTACAATATTCATGACTATTACTTAAAGCTTAGAGATGCACCCACTTTCTTCTGAAGTAAAAAGAAATGAACACTATACAATCCAACTATCCAGAAGCTAAAAATCAGTGTCCTGGAGCTTTGCTCATTTTAATGTGATCTTATTCTGGCTTTAGAAATGAATTCCAGCACCAAGAGCCAGAATCGGCCATGAAGACACACAAGCATTGCCATTTGTGTAGAGAACTTGTTTACGTAGCCTGAGGCAATGGAGACAGACTCCCTGGCGCTTCACATACTCTGATAAGGCTAGGTCCCACTGCTAAATCGAGGCAGGCACCTGCCTGGCTTATAGCTGTACTTGGGCAAGGAGAAGACACACTGGAGCCAACTTACCCCCACTGCAGGGGCTTCACTCTTTCCACACAGGGCCCTGTCTTCCAGAATCAATTCCCTACCCATATATTCACTTGGTCTTCTCTATTTTGAGAGATGTAATCATAACAAAGGCAAAAAGACTGAGGGATCACAAGACCCCATTATTCTTGCCAGCTACTTCTCCTGCTAGCTACCTCCAAAGGAAAATATGTGCAACAGAGGGAAATAAATGCTTATAACCCAAGAAAGTTGGTGGTCTCCTACAACCCTCCCCCAGGGTCATACCTGCCTAGCATGTGGATGCCCAGAAAAGGCTAAAAGAGGCACTAAGGAAAAACACACCAACCAGCTGGCAAGAAGTCCATTTGCTAGAGTGCTACAGGCCACAGGTCTCAGGCCTTCCCAGGGCAGTCTGTGTGCATCCCTTATCTATCATATGAAGCACGTGGAAGGAAGAGAGATAATGCAAAGAGAAGGAATCCCTAGAGAAAAACAAGCCACACTTTCATTTTATCCCAGGAAATGATCTTGAAAAGGACCACTGTTGGTGGGATTCCACATAACGGGGGATGAAACTCCCTCAGCCTACCACTCACCCCCTGCTTGTGTGCTCTGTCAAATGAATAAATAAAATCTTCTAAAAATATAATAAACTTTAAAAAAAGATTTTTATTTATTTATCTATTTATTTATAGAAAGTGAGAGAGAGAGAGAGTGAGAGCACAAACAGGGAGGGAGGAAGAGGGAGAAGCAGGCTTCCCGCTGAGCAGGGAGCCCGATGCGGGACTCAATCCCAGGACCCTGGGACCACGACCTGAGCCGAAGGCAGATGCTTAACTGACTGAGCCACCCACGTGCCTCTAATTACTCTTCTCTTTTTTCTAATACTTCATTTCCTTGCAGTCTTTGAAGGGTCAGCTAAAGTCCTGTATCCTTTAATAAGTCTTCCAAGACCACCCAAATCCATGGGAGTCTGTCCTTCTTTAAATCCAGTACCTCCATTTCCTTACCACCACTCAGTCCTGAAACTCAGTAAATGTTCAACTGATTAAATTTGGGGGTCTTGACAACAGTGTTGGAAAGCTGTGCGAGGATGTTAGAGAGCCTAGAAAAGTAGCTGACAATATAAAAGCACAGTAGCATACAAAATGAAAGCATTAAGTTAAAGAATAGAATTTAAGTAAATAAAACAGCTAACAAATAATAGGGAAATAGTATGGTGAAAAGCTCTATTTCACTTGATATTCTAATCCAGGGGTCAGCAAACTGGGACCTGCAGGCCCAATATGGCTGTTGCCTGTCTCTGGTTTTCTCGGGGCACAGCTATTCCCCTTTGCATATGGATAGCCTACAGTTGCTATCCCACTACAACAGCAAAGTTGAGTAGTTGTAAAAAAGAGACCCTGCTACTGACTCCTGTTCTGATGATATACACATGCCATCTTATCAGCCAAAAATAAAAAATACCTGAATTTGCGGTAGCTTTGTTTAGACTCAAATAGTCCAGGGTTCCAACCACAACAACTCACACATTAAGAAAACCAATTATTTGATTCTGAAACGATATTATATAAAAGAAATACAATATTCTACTGGCCATATAACAATATCTTCAGGACAACAATGTTAAAGTTTCTAAAAACTTAAAAAGGAATAAAAGGATGCCAAGCATAATAACAAATTAATAGTGCTTTTATTTTTTTTAAAAGATTTTATTTATTTATTTGAAAGAGAGAGAACACAAGAGGAGGAGAGGGAGAAGCAGGCTTCCCGTGGAGCAGGGAGCCCAATGCGGGGCTCGGTCCCAGGACCCTGGGATCATGACCTGAGCCAAAGGCAGACACTTAACTGACTGAGCCACCCAGGGGCCCCAGTAGTGCTCTTAAATGACCATTTAAAATACACCACTATTTAATGATATTATTTTTAAATGAGAATGCTATATATGAATTTTCGAGTTGACATTAACAAGATGTACTATCCTCTAACTGTTCACTTTTCTACATAATTACAAAGGTAACCATTTTAAAGTATCTTTCTCCGATTAATTACTATTTCTCAGACCAAAGAAATAGAAATGTTGTAGATTCTTTGAACACATAGAAGATATGACTTGAAGTAACAGAATTGATCCAAACCGGATTTTTGACCCTAGGTAAGATAATTTCTCCAAGCTTCAAGTTTTTCAAATATTAGAGATATGTATTCTATTCTAGTGACATTGTTATAAGATCAATCTATCACTGACATTTAAAAAATGTTATACAAAGATTTTTCAAAAAATATAAAGCACTATAAGATGGTAAATGTTTTTTATTAGTAGTATCATTTATGGACAGAATGAGACTAATTTTAGAAGAAACTTCGGTAAGTGATAATAATCACCCATAAAATTGGCTATTATTTTCCACACAGGAAAAGGAAACTCTCTAATGTCCCTTTTCATAAACTATTTTAAAAGACATTAAGAGCCACTTGCAGTTTTTCTGGAACTATGAACATTCAGAGAATGGGACAGTACAATCATTTCAGCAATTTCATGTAATTTCACAGTGCCATTTTATGCCAATAATGCATAATTTAACTCTATATTCCATGATGAACAAGGAATAGTTAGAATTTTTACTTTTTCTATGAAGATTTTCAGATAATCTTACCCATGGACAAAATGAAAACAATTCTATGTCCTAGTTTTTAAAATGCTACTTAGGGAACAACAAATTGTTTCTGAAATAGTTCTCACTGTTGACTGCTATGGACCGAATTGTGTCCATCTCCCTCCCCGAACAAAATTCATCTATTGAAGCCCGAGCTGCCAATATGACAGTATTTGGAGATGGGGCCTTTGGGACATAATTAAATTTAGACAAGATTGTAAGGGTGGTGCCCTCATGATGAGATCAGTGCCTTCTTAAGAGACCCTGGAGAGCTTGCTTCCTTTCTCTTTCAGTCATGTGAAGATACAGTGGGAAGGTTTATGGTTCTTTGTCATGGAGACTGAACTAATACATTGGCAATATATAAATATGTTCCCACTAAAATCTAACTCATTAGTAATAAAGTACTTTCATTGAAAAGTATGTGTATATTAGCTTAAAATGTTAAGCCAAATTGTTGCATGTTATACCAACAGTTTTAACACTGTTAAAGTAACAGACTCATTGAATAAATGATGGTAAATTCATACAATGTAATATCGTGAAGCCATTAAAATGCACATCTTATTTAGAAGAATATTTCATAATATAAGAAAAAGCCTATAAGAGACCATAATGCTGTTATCAATAAGATCCAATCTGATAGAGGGAAAAATGTGTGTGTGTGTGCAGATACATATTAAAGGTATGTAAAGAAATAAACCAAATTTTAATTGGAGATATTCAGTATTTCTGAACCTTCAATAATGAATATATGTTACTATTACAGTTAGAAAACATTAAACCCTTTTAAAAGATTAACATTAATTATGCTAAAATAATAATCAATACTCAAAATGCTTTCATTTTAGAAAAACCTAACAATCAAACTGAAAGGGAAAATTAAAGAAACATTCATTAATTACCAACAGATACCCTGAAAATTTCCTTAAAAATCACCCACTGAAATAAAACATTTATAAAAGTCATTCTAAGTTTTTTAAAGAATATTGAATGTTAATCATTTTACTTAGGAAAAAGAACGTGTATTTTGAGAAAATTTTTAAAAATACAATCACCTAGTTAAAATTTGATAACTACTGGCAAATCTTTAACGGTCAATTCCTACTTCATTTATTCTTCCCTTCAGCAAAAATATACTGCCCACCTGCTATGTGCCAAGACCTATAACTGGCACAGTAAACACAACTGTGA